AGTAATATTAATATTAATTATTTTAAAAGAAAAACTAATTAAAGAAAAGTTGTAAGAAAGATATTATAAAAAAAATATTAAAAAAAAGATTTAAAAAAAAGTATTATTTAACTTTATAGTTATTAATAGTAGGTTAAATTAATTTAGGTAGAGGGTAAAATACTTACTCCGCTATCGGTCTCTTAATAAGGTAAAATAAAGTTCTCGATTATTACTAGAAAATAGTAATTTTCTAGTTAAAAGGTTATAAAAATAGTAAAACTAAGGAAACTTAGTTAGGAGAAGGTTAGCGCTATAAACTATACTTTTATCGGTAAGGGGTAATCGGTCGCTTTAATTTTTTATTAAGATAAAGGTTAAGGTTAAAACTAAGCTTCCGTTAATTAAGAAGTTAATTAATTTTCTTAACGCCTCTAAAATCGCCGTCGAAAGGTTTAATTACGTAATATTAGCCTAATAAGGGTCGAAAAGTCGTAAGGTCCGGTATAGTATTCGGCCTTACGAGGTCGGGTTGTCGACGAGGGCGTCGACTTCGGTTTATTTAGTGATTTAAGCGTTAAAAGAGTTTATAACCTGTTGGGCTGGCGACCTAGGAAAGTCACTAGCTACGAAAATAAGGCTAAAATGGCTAAAAAATGGTAAGCAAATTAGTATTACAGTAGTTGGTTGTTGGTTAAAAAGTAAATAGTAAGAAAATCCAGCCCCAAGAGCAAACCGGTGTGGGTCTGGGAAAACCTGGGCCCTTTGGTGCCCCACATCATATCTACATGTGCCTACTGTTTTTGAGCCGTTCCATGTTCCTGTGATCACAGCTCGCCATCGACCGTCAGCCCAACTTTATTTGGTATTATCAATTGGTCTGTGGAGAAGCTCAGCCTATCATGTGCAAGATCAGATGGAAAAAAACCTACTGCAGATACATGTACCTATGTACCCAAGGAGGAATATAAACCAAGATCTTGACGCCAATCTGGATCGCCGCTTGATGGCCTGGTGACCAATGCTTCAGGCTCCAACAGCTCTTGGAATAAAAAGACCAATGAGAATGGGCTCAAGAACAGGCAGCTTCTTGGTGTGGGGTAAAAAGCAGACGTCTGCCTTCTGAGCCGTGTTAGAGGTAG